ATGCCATCACTCAAAGGGCAGAATTTACAGTATGTACTTCCATCAAGATCATGAGACAACCAATGCACATAATTGTGTCATTTGTGTGATGCCACTGTGTGTATTAAGCTCTTGGTAGCTGTATTAAAGCAAATATTCAGAGTATTCATGATTGTTTAAGCAACATCACTAAACAAAGATAGGGCCCAGAGGTTTTTTTAAAAAAATGCATTTAGGTATTACAAACTCAACTTGAATTAATGAGTTCATTACTGGTTTAGGCAGACAGCGATTCTGAAATTCATTAATATTGTAGTTCAATACTCACATCACACATGAGCCTGACTGAATTCAATCAGCTTTATTTCAGAGTAGATGTACATAGGGTTGGCTACCTAGAGTGATTCTGATGTTGTTGGTTGGATGGATATATACTTTTCTATGAAATTGTGGGGTATATGATATGTCAGTCTTATAAAAAAGAGCATCCAGCAGTGCACCCTTCCTAGTCTCATATAGGTCTGGTAGGTATGTTCTACAAGTAACCAATAAATCTCAATTTTCTAACATCAGATGTTACCTAGGGAGGTAATGAAATATCTGCCAAATGAAAAACCAAGTTCAAAGAACCCCGACAACCCAACAAAGAGCAATATATATATATATATACATGACAAATGGAGGCCAACCAAATATTCCATATATGGTTTCCAGTAGTTATCATATTCTAGTCCTGTTCCTTTAAAAACAGCCTTATTAGTCTATGATATTTCTGTTATGCTGTAAAACAATTCATTTTATCACAACTACTTTTTTCAAGCTAAGTTCTACTCAACACATATTTACTTGTGTGTTTCTTTAAAATACTTTTAGTACAAATTCTTCAGTCAGCTGACTTTAACTGGCTTACAGCAACAATATGTAATACATAACATTATAATAATAATAATGATAAAGTTGGAAGGGACCTCGGAGGTCATCTAGTCCAACCTCCTGCTCAGGCAGGAAACCCTATACCATTTCGGACAAATGGCTGTCCAGTTTCTTCTTAAAAACTTCCAGTGTTGGCGCATTCACCGCTTCTGGAGGCAGGTTGTTCCACAATGAACATAAACTATAATGACATCATAAAATGATGTTGGAATGATCAAATCATACCAAAATTCATAATGTTTTAACTTACTGGAGTATTTAAGTGCTCCAGTATCTTATCAATTTCCCTGAAACCAATAATACAGCTTATATAATCTTTGTAGGCAATCATTTT